AGAGAGAGAGAGAGAGAGAGAGAGAGATGGGGGTAATGTAAACTGAAATGGTACTTAAGTGTTGGGACCACTGAGGGAAGACAGATACCATGTCTCATTTTATATTGATCATGGCACCTGACCCAATTGGGGAACCAGAATGTAACCACCATCCATTTACCAGTTGTCTCCAGTACAGATTAGAGTCTGCAGAGGCTTAGCCTTGGAAGGCTTGGCTCAGTAAGAAAAGCTTGTAGTTGAATGGAACAGGCTTGGGTAGATAAGCTTTGCTTTTTTATGTGGGCTTCCATCCGGGACAGCAGGGGAGGCCAAGCACTGGGGATTCGGGGAGGGGGGTAGAAGAAGGGGGTGACACCAATCATGCAGCCTAAGTGAGAGGAATCCTAGATTCTGTCCAAGAACACTTGAGAACAAATGGAGACCTCCAAGGGCAAGACCAGCCCACCTGCTGTGGCAAGGATGTTTCCCCAGAAGGCTGCAGAGCATTGGTGGAGGTGAGGGTGGTAAAGACAGGGTTTCCAAATGCCTGAGGTCCAGAATGGACTCACTGGATAGTAGATTTAAAGAAAAAAATAACTGGCTTTCAGGAGAGAACCTGACTTTACCTAGAGAGTATTTCTCGGGGTCTGGAGGTCTTCTAGCAGCAATCTGGGTGGGTGAATAGGCCAAGGGAATTTTTTACTCTTCTCCTTTTAAACTCTTAGGTAAAGCCAAAAGGGGTCTGGGTCTGAGTCTGGGGAAGAGACCAGAGGGTTTGAAGTGTTATCAAAGGGGCATCCTGGGACCCATAAGCTGCCCACCAAGCTCAGGTATGTCCTCTAGCCTCTTAAATGGGATTTCACTTCTGTACCCCTACACATCTAGGTTAGTATTTTGTTTTTGTTTTTAGAGACAGAGTTTCTCTGTGTAACAGCTCTGACTGTCTTGGAACTCACTCTGTAGGCTAGGCTGGTCTTAAACTCACAGAGATCCACCTGCCTCTGTGCCCCCCCCCCAAGGGCTGGAATCAAAGGCATGCACCCCCACTGCCCGGCTCTATTTAGTATTTAACATGCTCTGTTCTAGTTCCTAGCAATGTCTCAAAACCCTCACTGACCTTGCCCAGATGGTCAGGATACCAAGTTCTAAGTTCCTGATCATGTCCTCAGACATCACTGTCAGGACCAAGCCCATCTAGAAGGCTCAAAGCAGGGGCTAATTTCTCAGCTGATCACTGGAGATGCTTTAAAAGCTTGAGACACAAAGTGGCCCTAGGAGAGCTGCAGAGCCACTGAGAAAAGCAGACCAAGGAAGCAGGCAAGAGAGGCCACGTGGCCACCTGCATCTGATTTATTATTCCATTTTGTCCAAACTCAGCAGAATGTGAGGCCACCAAAAGGCAGCCAGGTTGTTCTTTGGGGCCAACTAGAGTTGGGTGTATGGCAATAGGGGACAAAATTCATGAAACATCCATTGGGGTAAGAGTCAAGATTCAGGAGGCCCTTCTGTGCATCTTCCATGCCTAAATCCCCTCACAAGGAGGCGTGATGGGATCTGCATGAATGTGCTACTTTCAAAGGAAGTGGGGGCAGCCATTGGGGTCCAGTGGCTTGTGGGCAGCTCCATGGGAGCCTGAATGGGCCTCCTGAGACTGCTAGACACCACCTTGTTCATGAGAGAAGGTGGGCTCTAGGCCAGGTGAGACTGGTCAGAAGCAAACAGGACCTCGTCTAGACCACCTCTCCCTGAGATGTCCTCTTTCCCATGGTTCCTAATTCTTGCTCATCTTACCAACATTTCTGGTCTTCACAAAATCCACCTCTTACAGAGGAACCAATCCAGTGGGTAAGGCCCGACATCCCAACACCTCCCTACGGTGCTCTCTTGCCAAGAGCATCCTCACAGTGCTGGGCTTCTAATGGGCTCCAAGAAAGGGAGGTAAGTATGAGGGTCTGTGGGTATGCGGGGGGCCTTGAGCACAGAGGTGAAGGCCTCTCCCTGTGTATCCCAGGGATTGAGGTCTACCCAAAGTCTTGACCCTGTATCTGTTTGTGCTTCCATCCCAGCCATGAACATGAATCCAGAAGGACCTCCAGTCCAGCCTCATTGGGGCAGCACCTGCAGACCTGGTGGGAACAGGAGAAGAAAGTCTTGGAGGAAGGATGGCTGCAAGGGGATAGGAAACCATTTCTTTCCATTTACCATAGTCAGTTATTTAGACAGGCACAAGGAAAACTTGGATCCAACTCCCCAACCCTGCCAAACCCATTCCAGGACCAAATGAGAGAGGAAGACCAAGGTGGACACCTACCATAATTAAGAGTATGCCAGGCCCTGTAGCCCCCGGGCAGCAGAGTGGAACTTGTCAGTATCTTCAAAAGGCTGGTCTGTGGTCACCAAGGAGAGAGGGAAATAAGCCTTCTGTGGCCTGGTGATCTTACCTGCCTGTTCTTCTCTGGGCTGAAGATAGAAGGCAGGATATATAACACTTCCTAGAGGCTGTCAAATCTATCTGGCACTTGTTTGGGGCCAGCATTACAGACAGAAAGGTGAGGGGTACCCCTTTGCTGTCTCAGGATGCACAGCCTACACCCTTGATTTCCTTAATTCCCTGACCTCTGGGCTTCTCTTCTAGGCTGCCCCCTTCCTCCTCCTCTTCTCCCCACCCCCATGTGTGTTACTGTGTGTCTGTGGTGTGTGTATGTGTGTGCAAGTGGGCTCACCTGTGCATGTGTGTAGTGAAGGCCAGAGGTTGGCTCTGGGTGTCTTCCTCCACTTTATTTTAGAGACAGGCTCACTCACTGAAACTGGAACTTGCCATTATTTTCCAGGTAGACTCACTGGCCAGTGAGCCTTGGGTATCTGCCTGTCTGCTTTGGAGCTGTGGTTATAGGTGTGTTCCACCACACCCAGCTTTTATGTGGAAGTTAGGTGTCCAAACTCAATTGCTCGTGCTTGCACAGCAAATACTTTGCTCAGATCATCTCCTAAGCTCAGACCCACCTTTCTCAGTGGCCTGTGCCAAGGTGAGGAAGCAGGTGGATAAGGGCCAAGACAGTAATGAAGAGGCAGCTTCTGGGAGCACTGACACATGCACAGCGACATCCTGCCTACCACCCACAGGTGGGAAATACAGCATTTCACTAGTTCCCACCCCACTCACCCCTTCCTTGGACTGGCAGAACTCATGGGTCCCGTCTTCCCCTATCTCTCCCATTTTAAGCTGCACACACACGTTAAGACAAATTACCCAAAAGTTGGAAATAAGATCAAGAAAAGGGGTGCTGTGTCTTTTGGGGGGGTGGAAATTTGGAACAGGGTCCTGCTATGTAACCCAGGCTGGTTTTGAACTGGAGATCTTTCTCAGTGCCTTAAATTCTGGGATTCCCACCTTCCTGACATTACAGGCAGCCTTCCAGGCACACCCAGCAACTGTTTGTGTTCTGGAGATCAAAACTCTGGTCCTCATGTTTAAGAGTTTTAACCTCAGAGCCATCCCTCCAGTCATCATGTATTTTTTGTTGTTGTTGTTGATGATGTTGTTTGTGTGTTTGTTTGTTTGTTTGTTTGTTTTTTGAGACAGGGTTTCTCTGTAGCTTTAGCTATCCTGGAACTTGAACTGTAGACCTTTTCCAATTGTGATTTCAATGTTCTTGGCCGAGTTGTCAGTAGAGTGGGTCTAGACAGAGGCCAGGACACATCTAGCTTAAAGTTCAAGGAAGTGGAGTCGAGATGGGCATTCCTGGACCCTCACAGAACCTCTTACCGGGCACCCTCCAAAAACAACTGGTCAACTGCATGGAACATTGGTGGCAACTAGATGGAGTAGACCTCCCCTCAGGTCACTATGAGGCAGCCTTGATTGCTCACCTGGAAGCCCCTCTCTGTGGGCTCTGGGGCAGGCTTGGGATGGGGAGCTGGGTGGGCGCAGAACAGGGGCGAAGGCGCTCCTCTGTTTGACAGCGGAGATCATGTTGACAGGCGAGAAGGAGAAGACGCTGGTGGTGGGGGCAGCGGCCGGGAGGGACATGGAGGAGGCAGCCGCCAGCGGGGGGCTAGAGGGCATGACTCCGGGGCGGGGCGAGGAAGGGGCAGGTGCAGCAGGGAAGGCAGTGGGAGACACAACAGGGAGACAGCACCAGAGTGAGCAGCAAGAATGGGGTGCCACATGGGCTGTTGACCAGGCTGCAGGATCCCTGGGGGCTATGAGGGTCCTGAGAAGACCAGTTCAAGATAATGGGTAAACTGGGAGCTTCTGGGTCCTGGACCAGTCCTTGCCTTTTTAGGAGTCTGAACACCATTTTCAGGGTTGGAGATGACAGGATCAGACCCAGTGAAAACAAACAAACAGTGGGAAGTGCTCTCAAAGGTGGGCATAAGAAGGAGATGAAAAGATTGAATTCCTGCTGCATACCACTGCAATTCTGAAATGCTAAGTAATGTTTATGGGCCTGTGCCGCCAAGGCTACAGCCAAAGCTCAAGGGTCATAGCCAAGGTGAAGTAAGTGGATAGGCATGAAATTTCAGCGAATATACAGCCTCCTGAGTAAGGCTGCTCACATAAGGATGACAGCTCACATAAGCACCCTGACTTCCTCTAATGAACATCCCTATGCAACACGCCCTGTACTTTGTTCTACTCCCCAACCCTGGGCACTGTTTCTTTCCACTTTAATTCAAGGCCCTGTCATTGCCAGTCTGAATCTAGGAGCCTCTTGTATCTGCTAGGGTTCCTGTTTAGAGCATCTCAGTCACACCTCTCTGTGTCCTCACCTGAACCCATTTCCCTGCTTCTCTCTTCTAAAGACTAGAAGGTGGGGTTTTTAATCTTTTCCAACCAGCAAACAATGAAGAGCAGGTACAGACTTCCTGGAAATAATTCGTGGCCTAGGAAGACTGCTTTGATATCACAACACCCATTCACTGACTTTTGGTACAAAAATGACTGCAATGGTTACCCTATTCTCAATGGTTCTTAGCTTGTGGTCACCATCTCCTTGAAGAAAATACTCAGTGCTAGCTGATAAAGCCCTGGCCATTATGTAGTGCTTAAAATTAATGAGACCAAGTAGAGACACAGAAAGCCCTAGATCCGCTGGCTTGGACAATTCTGATGACATTTTAGGGACACGTTGGCAAACTCAATGACACCCTATGTAATCATGTCATAAAGCACCCTGAACTTGGGGGAGTGGATGTGGCCCTGAGTAAGCATATTCTGAGATGGGAACAAGCCTGGGTGGAGTCCCAAGTGTCCCTGCTGATGGTGAAGCAGGGTATAAGTGACTCTGGTTGACTAGGGTGGCCCAGGATAGACTGTGCACTGGGGCAGCAGTCTTTTACCCCTGACAGTACTGTTGTGTATCTGGGAAACGGTGAGAGACTCAAACACAAGGGAAACCTAGAAAAAGGCTATGAGCTCACTGTCTCAGAATGGAGGGATGTGGAGCAGTGGAACCTGGCTGAGCTAAGTGCCAGGAGAGACTGGTCTTGGGAGGGACACAAGGAGGCTACAGCCTGCGTAGACTCTGGCTTGGAGAGACGTTGGGTTCCAAAGTCAAAGCCAAGCCAGATTTGTAGCCCTTAAGAACAGCACCCCTGGTAAGGAAAGTTAGGCAAGTAGCTACAGTTATTTTAGGTAGTGAAAAACCGAGAGGAATGAGGAGGCAGAAGGGGGGAACTTCAGGTAAAGCCACAACAAGTTTCTTCTTCGGCAGATGTCACTATGCCCCAGGCCTTGAGGGACAACCTCCCATGTGACTGGTAGAGAGATTTTTTTGCTGGTGAGAAAGGGTGGACAGAGTTCCCTAAGCCTAGTGCTTTCTCACCATGTGGATTGTACCTGCTAAGTAGCCGTTGGTATTGCAAGGGACTGACAGGCAGTGTGAAATGATAAAGCATAAAAATCCACTGTCCATCCATCTATCAGGGAGCTGCCTTAACCCAACATGCCAAGCACCTACAGTTGGGGCTGGGCCTACAAAATCATACATACGTTCTTCCTGAATTTTGTCTGGCCTTCTAATGGCATGTTCAGATAAGAGAGCTAACTGAGGCAGGGGGGTGTATTGATCCTGTTTTACTGAAAAGAACTTAAGTTCATAGGCTCAACTTCTTGAATGTCTGGCAGCTCCTGGCTAAGACCCTCAATTCTGAATCCAGTTCTGGTCACAGGGAATTCTCTTGTTTGCCTCAACCATCTGGGAGAACCTGAGAAGCTGCCGCCCAAGGTACTCAGAGGGACGGAACAAGAAGAAGAATGTCTTGCAGGTGAGGGGGTGAGGAAGCTCCTCCGGGGCCCCGCCGCGCCACTCGGTCCCACCGGTTCATCCCCTGCCCCAGGAAGGCTGCTGAAACCCAGAGCCACACATCCCGGAGGCTGCCGGGCGCTGGAAGCCTAAGTCTCTAGAGTTTCCTGAGGCTTCCAGCAGGGGCCGCCAGCCTCCTCCCGAAGTCCCGGCGAAGGACCAAAAGATTGCTGTCCACCAGTTTTCAGCACAGGTCCCCCTAATTAAGGGCGGCTTCACAATCATGGGAGGGCTAGAAGCGACGTGTACAACTGGGGTCAGCAAAGAGGGCTTAAGTTGCAAGAAGTTTAGCCCCAGGATCCCGGGGCTCCCCGAGGAGTGAGGCTAAGGTCCAAAATCAGGGAGTGGCAGTATGAAAGGAGGACTGAGGGCTCTCCACCGCTAGGCCAAGGTCCACCCACTTAAGGCAGGAAGTGCAAGCCCGCACTCCAGAATGGGTTGCAGGCAGGGCTGAGTCCATTCTGCATTCGCAGGCTAC